CCTGCGTCCCAGCCTCTGGGCCCCCTGCTACGAGCAGCCTGGGCTTCATGGCTGGTGGCAGCTGCCCAGAGCCCAGGCCACATGGCATGCTGAGGAAAATAGCCTTGCATACCATGCCCTGGCACAAGTGCTGGGGGTTGTCAATCCCTGCTCTAGCTTGTCCTCCCATACAGCGCAAACCATAGAATTTCATCAGGGTAACAGCTCATCGTGCAGAATCTTTTCTCAATATCTTTTTCAAAGATTCCAGCCAAAGCCATTGTTTTGATCAATTAAATGCAACATTGTCACGTTGGAAAGGCTCTTTCAGGCAGGAGGCCATTTCCCATCACAATAGTGATGACTGGGAAGTGTTTGCCTGGCTCCATTATCACTGTTCTTCCTTCTCCTGAGCTGGGGAGAACAGTCATGACACTCTCCTCCGTGTTACCAGGTCTGGAGCCCTGCCAAGCCACTTCCTCATCTCTGCCAGAAGGTGAGCTTACACGGTCTGGTTTGGGCAGTTTGGTATCCATTTAACTGGAGCTGCTGTGGTGGGGGTGTGTTGTCCTTTCATAATGCCTCTTTATTCATAGGCTTTATTCCTTGACCATCTACCTAAGACAGTGACTGATGCTATAAGTACTACAGGCTGGGGGTGTAGCCTCTTTTGAAGCATTTACAGTAACATCCATCACATGGGTGACTGGTGCCTCCTGAGTCTGGGGGGGCATCAGCAGCTGATCGCCAACTGGGATGGGGGGGGTCCCCCAGCGGCTGATTGCAGCGCCAGCAGCAAAATTGGCTGGCACCAATCTCAGGGGGGGCACCGGCTGGTGCTTCACTCGACGCCCCCACTCCCTGGCCAACAAGGGCCAATCTCAGGCGGGGCACGTACCCCCTCCCTTGCACATCGCCTATGATCCATCATCTGTTGTTTCAGTCTGCTTATCTCTTTGGATAAAGCACTCTGGTAAAACTCCTGCTGATTTCAGTGGGGCAGAGTTTCCCTCATCTTTTAAGAGCATGATTCAAGCCTCTATTTACATGCCAAGGAAGCTTTTTTTGCCCCCCTGCCCTTCCCTCATGTACAGTGTATGGAAGTTTTGAAAAGAATCACCACAACCCAAAACGTGTTCCTCTTAGTCTGACACACCGTGTGTAGGACCCAATTCAAGCAGCTGGATTTCAAACTCCAGGGCCATCAATCTCCTCCAGGCATGGGCTAAAATACCCATCTGCCAGCCCAAGAGGAAGAAGACAGACCAGAGATTCCCTGCAGCTCAAGAGTCTCTTTCCAGTCTCTCATCTGTCTGCACAGCTCCCCAGAGCCCCACGGGGCAGCCTGCCCTGAGTCCTTGTACCCTTTGTTCTGCCCCTCTGCCCTGCCCCCTGCCCCTCTGTGTTTATTCTTTGCCTTCTGTGATTTCTCTACTTTTCACCTCTGTAGTCCCTCCCCCATTCAAGGGCTAGCCATTCCTGTGGTGAGCTCTGCCAACTGGTCCCAGCTACCAAGTAAACTGGTATACATGGAGAAACTAAAGCATTTTACATTCCAGTTCCTCAAGGGTGGAATTCACTCACCGACCAGCAAAGGATGATCAGATAATCCTGCACTGCACACCCTGTGTCATCAGCCAGGAGTCCCCCATGGAGATCAGAGGCAGCACTACTCAGGCTGAGGTTATTTCCTCTATAAACAATTCTGTTTTAATATTAACCATTAAATAATCCAACTGTGCAAGCTCTTTATTTTGTCAGAAATCCACCAGAAGCTACGTTACGTTCTCTCTTAAATTCACCCAACTGTGCCAAAATATCACAGCTTCAAGGAGTGAGCAGACGGTAGATATTCTTTTACCTCCAGATGCCCTTGATGTTGGTCGTTTATGTCAGAGCCTTAACAGTCTTCTGTCCCAGTTGCTTGTGGATTAATTGTGACTTACAGTGGCTCTTATCAGTTCATGAACGAGCAATTTACATAGTGAATTGATTTTTGTTTTATTATTTCATCTGCTGCCAGAATTTCACATTGTACAGCTGAACAAAATGTGACTCTATTGAACCTTACAATTATTTAAAGGCAGAGAGAAAGAGAGGGATTGTTATAATCAACATGGAGATTGGAAGCTAATGATCATATATTAGAGCAAATTTCCTCCTGTGCTTAGTATCCTTCGGCAGGTTTTGCAGGGTGAAAGGAGGTGGCTGGAACCTGGAAGAGCTGTTTCCATGCTATACTTTAATTTCACAGTGGACTGCAGTACAGCTACAGTACAGGGCTGGCCAGCATCAAGTTTATGGTAAGAGGCATGAAACTAAGGATGCTGGTTGTATTGCTCCTCGAGGGACATCTGCTGGCCAACAGCTGCTGGTCTTATGCAGCATTATGCTGATGGCTTCTTCACCAGAGGAAAATAAAGCTGAAGAGTGGCAAAGAACAGCCACCCAGAATGATGGATACCTACAAACTCCAGGACCAAGGAGTCAGCAAAGGTTACACCTCTTGTTCCTCGATTCTTGGGTCCAGAGATTTTTTGGTTTGCTTGTTTTGCACTCATTGGTAATAATAAAGGAAGATGGGCCTCTGGGGAGTGATTGGAGATGATGTCACTAGATATAACCTCTAAACGTGGTTTACAACAGAAGAGGGAGAGACTTGCTGAATTAACTTGTACTGAATTTTTGATGGGTCAGCATCCAATGTCTTTCTTCCCATCAGTCGATAATACTATTTCACACAGAGCACGTTATACACACTTATGAATCTTCACTTATGTTGTGGCACATAAGTATTTTATCCTATTTTATTAGTATAGAAACTGAGGCCAGGGTAGGTATAATTTGTCCACGGTGACTAAGCAAGACATGGTCAGAACTGGGACTAGAACTCAGGGATCCTGTATCCCAGGACTATGCAGTGTCCTGTGGATCTACCTGACCCCTTTTTTTTAAAAAAACAGACTGGAAAAGTTGGATTTTAACTTATACATGACAGATGAACTCCTACACACCAGTAAAACTTAATACCAAACCAGTGGCCATCTCACAAGGTCAGCTGACCAAACTCACAATACTTTCACTACTTTGTGCCAACATGGGATCTCACAAGAGTTTGAAGTAGGATTTCTGAAAGTACCTAAGGGAGTTAGGAGCACAAGTGCCATTGATTTACAATGAGACCTGAGCTCTTAACTCACTCAAGTGACTTTGAAAGTCCTACCTTTTTACTTAACTTGAATTGTAACTAGAAAGTCTTCTTCACCCAACCCAGAACCAACACCATAAACCCAGTGATCCAAAGGCCAGCACATAAAAGGGTCTGGTCCTGGTTCTGGGCTCTTTCTTTATGCTGTGGTCATTCTTTTAAAACAGAGTGGCAGCCCTAGGATACTGGGCAGCATAGCTTAAAAAGTCCTAATGCAAAGTACTGTTACCTGCATAGCACAGCCTGGAGATTTTGAGCTTGTTGAAAATGAAGGCAATATCGTCGACTGTTCTATAAAGGAATAATCACATGCAAAGCAAAAACAAACTGGTTTGAAGGTAAATGTATATTTAATGTCATCATTAATCATTGGTTTTTAATTGGAAAAAGGTTCTTAATGAGGTTCTTTAAAATGCCAGATCACAGAACAGAAAATTTATATTACCGAGCACTTTACAACACAGAACATGACAAATTCCACAGACCTGATTTATACAGCAAAAATTCATTAATTTCCAAGGAGTTTAATAGATACATTAGTCACTGAGTGTGTCCCAACTCCCCCACAGTGTCTGTTTAGTTTGCAAATAAAGATTGATGCAGTTTGATTTGCTTTTGCTTCCCCCATTAATGTTAACAACACCTCCGGGTGTTAGCCATAGAGCACCAAACAATGGAATTATTTGCCTTAAAAATGCTAAACAAATGTTGCTTTCCCATCAAGGGCTAGGGGAACAAAATGACAATTGCAAGGTAATGCGCTGTGATGTCTGTTCCCACATATTTTTGTATTGTGTACATCCTGTATATTTTTGTTGCAACAAATATTATTTGAGCACAGAGTCCATTAAAGGTTTTGTTGAGGTTTTTTTGGTTCAAATCAAGCTGGTTAATGTAACATGCCTAAAAAAGAAAAAAGAAAAACCCCTTGCAAAGGTGGATTGTATTTTATAAGTATGTCTATAATTAAATAATGAATAAGAATGGGAGTGATTTGATTCTGAACTTTGCCACCTAATAATTGAATTAATTTTACTGCTCCTTCTTGGTGTCTGATAAAAGGGAAAAACT